CACTAAAAAACCTGTGCTCAGCTGGCCTGGCTGATAGTACCCTGTAAGGGCTCCTAATCCAGGGATACAGGATGAGTAGCGTTTGTACTCCATGTTAGGAGCGGCTGTACATAGTGTCTGTTCCTCATTTCAGACGCGGCCATTTCTTTTGGAGCTAAGTCGGCCTGCCACTGAGTAGTGCTCCCAGTCTTAATGATAAAGGCAGACGCATTCTACTTCATCCAGTCATGATGGTTGTCAAACTCAACTCTTCCCCAGCAGACACCATCAACAAGCTTTACAAGCTTGATACCCTAATATGATGGAGTGGAGATAAGAAAGAAGAAGAGATGGTTTTATCTACAATGTCAGTGGAAGTCCAATTACTGAGGTCACGCCATGTCATTTCTTGTGAGATTTTCTAGGCATGCTGGACTAAGATTGATAATTTTCAATATAATCCTTTGCTAGCAATTTAAGATAATAAAGTAAATGTCTAAGAATGAGTATCTTTAATTAAACGTTTTTCGAGCTTTCTGGATAACGCCCGATCTACAGGAAAAATTGATACAAAATGAAATTTAACTATACTATGGCAAGTTATAAGTACATTATAAAATTAACATTAAAATTCTAAAATAGGTTAAAAACTGATATTATGTAAATTTTAAAATGTACATATAACTTGCTATAGCATAGTTAAGTTTCATTTTGTATCAATTTTTCATGTAGGAGGGCGTTATCCTAAAAACAACAACAAAAAGCTTTATGACATTTTAGTCTTATACGGATTCTCCAAGCACAGAAATGTAGGGTACATACAGGAATAACAGTAATAACAACAACAAAAGTCCCTTTATGACATTTTGGTCTTATACAACTTCTCCAAGTAGAAGAGGGTATATACAATAGTTACAATAATCAGCAATGTTATTTACAATGTGTCAAGGGGGGGGGGGAGAAGGGCTTACTGGGGAACTAGAGTATTATAATGGTTATCCCAAAAGCTTGAAAAACGTTTAATAAAAGATACTCATCCTTACATGTTTACTTTATTATCTAAAAATATGATTGATAATCTCTTGAAGGGCGGCCGTCAGGAATCTTTTGGTATTGGAATATCTTCTGCTATGTTTACAGGTCAATGATAACAGACGATGTTGAGTTGAGGTATTCAAATTTCTGGTTTCTCATTCACACCGAAGTTTCGCTAAACAGAGTTTAACTATTATGAAAATTTGAAACCATTATAAACGCGTATGATTCTTTTAAAAATAAAACAATTTATACTGTCCTTACTGCAATGGAAAAATTAATGGGAAGGCCTGGCTCATCAGTAGTGAATCCTCCCAGCGGTTTCACTAGTTTAATCTACCATACCTCTGTTATATTGAATTTTTTCGATTATCCTTTTATAATGATACTGATGCTAGACTCTTGTATTGGGTATTTTAGATGAACTATATTGAATATTGGTTAATAAACCTACTTTAATATGAGCTAAGTTTCTTTTATAAATTCTTATTTCTCATTAATATAATACTCCCATCAAAGGGATGATAAGTCCAAAAAAAATATTTTTTTTTTTCATATGGTGATATGTCGCATTACTACTTTTTTCTTTTTTTTTTTTTTAAACCTCTATCCGGTTAGAATATACAAGGTTGTCCTAAAAGTTCGTAAACACTTGCAAAAAATTGAAATACCAATATTATTCGCCATTATGTATAATGTCTTTGTATTATGTATAAAGTAATTGTATTATGTATTTAGTCTTATACGAATTCTACAAGCACAGAAATGTAGGGTACATGCAAGAATAACAGTAATAACAACAACAAAAGTCCCTGTTATGACCCTTTGGTCTTATACAACTTCTCCAAGTAGAAGAGGGTATATACAATAGTTACAATAATCAGCAATGTTATTTACAATGTGTCAAAGGGGAGAGAAACAAGAAAGGGCTTGCTGGGGAACTAAAGTATTATCATGGTTATCCCAAAAGCTTAAAAAACGTTTAAATAAAATATACTCATCTTTAGAGTTTTACTCTAGTATCTAAAAATATGATTGATAATCTCTTAATTCTCAGGAATCTTTTGGTATTGGAATATCTTCTGCTATGTTTACAGGTCAATGATAACATTTTGTTGTCGCATTACTACAATTTACAATGTATTCGCCGTAATAATATTATTCGCAAAATAATAAGAAAAACACGAACTTTTGGGAAAACCTTATAGTAATGACTTATGGAGTGAGAGAGAGTGTATAGAAGAATATTTAAAATCTTCACATCAAAATAGCGCTTCAACTCTTTTAGAGTTTGGTATTTATAAAATGATATTGGGAAGTAGGTAGACGACCGTTTTAAACCGTCGATCCGCCACGACCCAGGTTCGAATTCCGCATTGGACACTTTTTTTTCTGAATAAAAAATTGCTCCAATGGTTCCAAATTCTTGTGAAATTCCATCCCTACTAGTAAGTGCAAGTAATCAAACGGGTCTATGGCACATTTGTAAGTTCAAAAGTCGCCAAGTGCTACCTACCATGATTATCATGGCCTATACCACATGTGTACACATACTAGGAATAATACATAAGGTTGTCCCAAAATTTCGTAAACATATTATGATTTATATTTTGCAAATGTTTATGAGCTTTTGGGACAACCTTGATATTCTGAAACTTGGCCCACCTACTGATTGGCCACCCTTGATATAGAACATCAGAGATTAAATCATTCTTCTATAAGAATTCTGTACCTAGTGTTTGCAAGTGTTTACGAACTTTTGGGACAACCTTAGTAATATTAGTAACCTTGGTAAAATTATAACAGAATTCTTATAGAAGAATGATTTAATATCTGATGTTCTATATCAAGGGTGGCCAATCAGTAGGTGGGCCAAGTTTCAGAATTACAAGGCGGTCCCAAAAGTTCGTTGATGCAAAATATAAATCATAATATGTTTACGATATTTTGGGACAACCTTATATTTTTCAACATTTATTATGAATTGTGTTAGGATTATTTTCTTCGTTTACATGGTAGAAATTTGACCCATGTTTGGGCTCCACTGGAAAACCTTGCACACTTGAGCGGAGGATGTTTTCCTGCTGAATATACGTTAATACGAGGATTGTCATTTAGCCCATCTCTCTTATTGCTACTAGCAGTAATCATCTTTGTTTTCAAAACAAACCCTGGTTAAATATCCCTAAGCAAAACCATGTCCTGGAAAAACTTCACTGGACCTTTAGAAATGATCCCTTTTACATATCTAAACAACCCTCCCGGTACTTCAAGAAAAACTTCAGATATTCTATAGAATCGGTACGTCTAGAGATTCTTTATTGAATCTAAAAATACACTTCAATCGATCTAGTAAGCCTTTACTGGTAGCTATAAAAACTTCATGTTAGATAAGCTTCACTCCCTATAAAAAAAAATGCGTTCAGGATTTTTTTTTTGTTTGACACATCGGACGCGATATCCCAACTTGGGATACTTGCGCCTAAATACATTTTAGCAGCTTATATACAATTCATTTTATATACAATTCAATAACAGAACTAAAAACAAACTTAAAACTGAAAGGATGGTTTTCTCAAACAGAAAAGAAAATATAAAATGAATTTACAAAAATTATTGAATTTTACATAAAGTGTCTTAGTTATATATAAATCCACACATTTCTTCGATGGGATAAAAAGGATTACTTCTGTAGCTGTAAAAGATTCGGCATTCTATTAATAAAGGATAATTCAGTTCTATTAAAAATAGAAAGGTTGGAAAAGATGTAACGATAAGGCTAGAAAGATACATCGTAAATTCTAGAAAAGATATAATCTAGTTTATAATACAATATAATTTTGAGATAACCTTATATTTGTCAACATTTATTATAAATTGTGTAGGAGTTTTTAAATTTATTTTTTGATAATTTGATTTTTGTGTTAGGATTATTTTCTTCGTTAACATGATAGAAATTTGACCCATATTTGGGCTCCACAATTCGTCGTTCTACAAACATAAGCCGCATTATATTGGATTATAAATTAACTTTATATAATATTTACGAACGGAAAAATATGTCCAGGGTAACCTAGTGGACATGGCATCTAACGGTAAGCGGAACACTGTGAGTTCCCATCCCTGGACACTTTATTTTTCCGTTTATCATGACACTTCACAATTCATCCTTTCATACTTCATCCTTAAGGGTAGAAATAATCGTTATTTCTCCTTAAAATAAATTACGATTTTTCGTTCAAAAGAAAAATTTTGCGGTAAAATTGTCAATGTCGTTCTATAATCTAGTTTAATGCAACAAACAGAGTATGTCTAAGAAGGAAGAGTACGTTGTAACGGCAGATGGTACGTCTACAGCATATTCTTCTTGTATATTGTTAAATTATCATTTATCAGTGAACATATTATTATTACTGATGGTACTCTGTGGAGTTGCAGTTTGACTTGTGGTAATATATATCAAACTATAAACATACGTTGATTGTCTGCCTCAACAAATATATAAATACTTTTATAAAGTAAATAAAGCTTCCAGGGTTAAGTTTCTTGTTCAATTTTTTTTTTTATTTTCAAGCTTTCGGACTTGTCAGTCCTTCTACAGGAGTACCACGATAAAACTTCCCAATTACTTCTTGCTGGTTAACGTCAAATAAACATAAGGACGTTACATACGTGGTAGGCCAAGAACGTTTTCCAGCTTCTAGAAAGATTCCATGGTAGTTATAGAAATGCTCGATGCAGTCTTTGATGGCCGGCTAGACCTTCTAACCCCCGTGTTCCCACTGTGTACCGAAGACAAAGAGAAAGACTATCTGGAAGTCCATCAGCGGAATTTATTTCAGTCGAGGTCCAGGAATAGACCGCTCGCGGAGAGTGAGTCCCGCCCAGGAGCCTTCGGGGGTCCTGCGAGCTTTTTTTTTTTCTTCTCTTATTTTACTTTTTTGTTTCCCCATGGGCGTTGTCTCCCAATAGCTTCTACAACCACAAGGTGACCTTGGGCCTTCATTTAATGCTTTCTAAATGTACGTTGCAATGATAATCATGGTGGATAGTACAACAAATATCTTTTAAGAAATTGATCATTTATATTATGCTTATTGTACATATTGCCAGACACTTCTTTATTTTGTACACAGGTCTTTTCTCATTGTTAATATCATATGACTATTCTATTCACGGCCTAAAATTATTGTATATATATATATAGACAAATGTAAAGACATATATGTATGACAGCGCAAGTGTCCCTAGGGGGACATAGCGCTTTAAATTGAAAAATAAAATAAAAAAAATCATGGTGGATAGTTAGTTGTCTTGTACTGTACTGTAAATGTATCTACAGTCCTGGCATCTGCCAAGACATGTTTCTATAAGTTTCATCTCAACATTGAACTGAGAGTCCTGGTCTGGAGGAGGACAAGATGGAACCCTTCCTGAGAACAGCTTTTTATATTTTATCACCAAATGGTAAATAATCACATTTATCTTTGTTTACTTTATCTTTGATTTTTGTAACAATTAACTAAGAGTGGCAATATAATTTACACCAATACCTCGCTTTGCGTCGTTTCGTTTTGCGTTTTTTTTTTTTCGAAGTTGCGTCGCTGCTTAATTTTTACTGATTTTCACTGTGCGTCGTTAGATTTTCGAAGTTGCGTTGTTTTGGATTCGGGTCTTTATTTTTATTTTATTATTTTTTTTTTCTAAAATATGGCAATACCTTTGTTTTTGATTGCGCCATGCCATCAAAATTTTATTTTCACTTTGCGTCGTTTCAATTTGCGTCGTGTTTTTTTGGAACGTAACCCCGACGCAAAGCGAGATATGGGTGTATTGAATTGTCAAAATTGTCTACTTACAAAGTACCATCCGTTTGGTTACTTGCACTCCCTGATGAGGTTAGACGTACACAAATCAGGAAAGTCATTAAAGAAATTCATTACACACACCACATTATACCAGCCATAGTTACCTAGAAATAATTTAAATAAGAAAACTAGATTTTGGACAAAGAATTTCTTTAATTATCTTTGGGTGTTGCAAGCTTTCCATAAAATTTTCCTTTTCAACAGGCAAATATAAGGTTATCCCAAAAGTTCGAGTTTTTCTTATTACTTAGCGAATAATATTATTACGAGGCGAATACATAATAATACATAATACAATTATTAATTAATGCTTTCTAAATGTACGTTGCCACGATAATCATGGTGGATAGTTAGCTGTCTTATACTGTACTGTAAATATATCTACAGTCCTGGCATCTGCCAAGGCGTGTCTCTATAAGTATTATATCAACATTTATTTTATTTATATTATATTTTATGTAATTAATTAAATGTTTAATTTCAAAAAGAATCTTACGCCTTTAAAATAGTTTCGAATTTTGATAATACAATTACTTTATACATAATACAAAGATATTATACATAACAGCGAATAATATTGGTATTTCAAGTTTTAGCAAGTGTTTATGAACTTTTGGGGTAACCTTGTAATAAATATGACAACAGAATGATATTTTTACAAAAATAAATGTTATTAGCGTTTGCCAAGCTCGGGCGTTCACATCAGACTATGTATATATACTACTATAGAAAAATATATAAAATAGATTATAAAATAGGGTGATATATATATACACACACAATTTGATAATATTGTTGTTGTTGTTGTTGCCGTGTCCAATGAAGAGCCTCAGATGTTTCCATACATCTCTATCACAGCAGCAGCAATGTCCTCTATCTTGGGTGTGTAAAGCTGCTGCTCTGGGTCTATGTCAATTTTCTGCAAGGCTGCGGCCATTGCTGGGCATGAGAATATGTGAGTAGGTGTTAGTTCCACACCAGGACAGTTGTTGCATGTCCTAAAATAGCATATGCTATGATATTTAACTCTGCCTTAATCCCAATTTTCTATGGTATCCATTTTATTCGCAAAAGAGTTTCCATATCCCAAGCAATTTTCCATCTTCAACTTGCAGCCGTCAATCTATTGAGACAGGCTGTTTTTATAAACGTAATTGTCTAAACACTGGGGAAGTGGTGCGACTTGTACCATATCTATCTAGTCTTTGTTTGTAAGGAAGCTTACAAGACGTAACCTCTACTGGCTCATCCCCAACACTTGCTAATAAAGGAGCTTGCTAATTCCAGCCCTCTTACGAAGCCATTGTGGCAAACTGTTTGTTGTTTTTCCCCAGGGATGTGTGGAAATCTCATCGTTTTTCTTTCTTTGTTTTTCTAAAACTTTGTCTTCTTCACGCCTCTTCAATATTATTTGCTACTGAGGTTTTTTTTTATTATACACGATTGCTTTTTTTTTTTTTGTCTTCCTGAGATGTGATAGACACTTTTTGTCATTTTGTTTCTCAAAAACTCCGTATTTTTCATTTTTCAATAGTCATTGAATTTTCTATAATTTATTTTTGACTAAGGACCCTGCTTTTAAAATTCGTCTTATTATACTTTTTGAATAGAGAAAAATAGCATTATTATATTGTCGCGATATCAATTTAGAGTTTTATTGATCAAATGATAAACCTTGTGAGTGATGTTTCCCTCACAACAAAACTAGAAACAAGAAAATTAAATATCAGTTACAAAATTTACATACCTTCCTTATATAACATTAAACATAAACATATTTACATATTTACTAACATTTGATTTACATAAACCAATTTCGTGACAATATTTCTCCCTTTCTACAATTATTTTTTATTTAGAGTTATTTTATAGGTTGTATTTTTTTATGAAGTGAATAAATATGTTTTGAGACATTTTGGCTTTTTATAGAATTATCTTTTTATATTGTTTCTTTATAAAGTAATTAATAAAATTTACTATTATATTTCTTTAATATAACGATATCCATTTTGATTTTCTTTTAACATGTATAAAAATAATTTGTCTGTTTTTAAGAACCTCATCTTGATATTCTTCCTGATTATAATTTTTTTTAAATATTTTATTGATAACGCTTTAAAAATGTATAATAAAACAATATAATGCGGCTTATGATTGTAGAACGACATTTGAAAATTATCCCGCATGTGTTTTATTTGAACGAAAAATCAAAATTTATTTGAAATAAATTTCGATTTTTTGTTCAAAGGAAACACATGCGGGATAATTTTCAAATGTCGTTCTACACTTTTAAAATTTAATAAAAATAAAGCTTCCAGGGCTAAGTTTCTTGTGTGAACCTTTTATTTTCAAACTTTTGGACTTATCAGTCCTACAACAGGAGTATTACGTTAACAAATTAATGATAAATACTATTTATATATAAATTGTTATTTACCTATTTTAAAATACCTATAATATATTTCTCACAATGTCATAAGTATTTAAAATATGTAAATAATAATTTGTATATGTGGTGTTCCTTCGATTAAATAATTAAATATGCTTTACCAAATTAAGAAACAAATTTTAATTATATATCTTTTAATGCTATATATACACTTTTAAATATATTCATAACAACAACAATAATTACAGTGCTGCCAAATCCAAACAATCAAAAATAAATTGATTAAACAGAGTATATTATAAAATTATTATAAGGTATATTACAGTATAAAAATAGTATTTATCATTAATTTGTTAATACTACTCTTAAAGGACTGACAAGTCCGAAATCTTGAAAATAAAAGTTGTGCACAAAAACTTAGAACTGGAAGCTTCATTAATTTTTAATTTTATTATAAATAAGGAATAAAAACGTTACCTGAGTCTACACACCCAAGATAGTGGACATGGCGACTGCTGTGATAGAGATGTATGGGGACATCTGAGGATCTTCATTGGACACGACAACAACAAGCGTAGCGTTCTCACGTAATTCTGGCCTTAACTACCCGTTTCATGATTTTTCAGGATGCCTGAATGACCAGTTTTATGGTCGTTGAGGTACAGCTTACACCACGCTGATGAGGGCCAACAGCCCGAAACCCGTCTGTGGTTAGCTTTTCTTGATTAATCAAGAATGGGTATTTGGCCAATTCTGGAATAATTAAAAATCAACAATAATAGTTGATATTTATTCCGATAGATGGCGCAAGTCATCAGCTACTTTCAGTTGCACGATAAGAAGATGCCTTTTTCTTAATAAAGAGTTTTGTTTGTGTGTGTAGGAACCAAGGAGATAGAAAAAGAGATAAAAATGGAGATTTCCTGAAGGGATGCCATTCCAGACATGCTTTTACAATACAGATCAACTTGTAAATGCATATTCTGGAATGATAACCTTATCAGACATTCTTCGGGAATTTTTTCTGAAACACAAGTTCTAGGTGAGTAATCTTATTTGTGTTGTGTGCAATGTATGCTTTGTTAGAATACTACTTTTGTATTTAGGTTAAACATTTTGTTGTTATCTATATATATATAAAATTGAATGTCTGTCTGTCTGTAAGTTTGTACTCTATAGATTCAAAAACCATACATCCAATCGCCGTGAAATGTTGGGATATTATTAGGTATATCCCCGGGAAGGTTTTTGAAAAATATTTTCTTGAATATCCTTAGAGTTATTTGCAGATTTGTATATTTAACTCGCAAGCAGCGCCCCCATTGCGACGATGATAACAAGTTTTTTTATCTATAAGTTTTATTATCACTAAGTTCATTATCTTAAAGATTATTTATCAAAAGTAAGATTTTCTACCTATTAATTGCGCACAAGTCAAAGTTAGTTTTATCATTTATCTACAACATATATATTGGGAGAATAGATAAAATGATGATTTTCTAATGTAGAAAATTAGGAAAGACAAAATTCAGGATGACACGGCAATTTATTTGAGACAAGAATAATGATACAATTCCAAGGCAAGATACTATTCCTTTAACTTCCAATTACCGAGGGAACCAATTAATATTCATTTTATTCAACTTATCGAGTATTTTTCAAGGGACCGGGAAAAAATGTTCACTTTATCGAAAGATTCAAATTTACGAGTTTCAAACTATCAAAATATATCTATTATTTTTTTATAAGTTTATAGAGAATTATTTTAACAAATGTTCGTTAGACAAACCTTTACTCGGGTAAAACCCGGGCGAAGCCGGGTACATCCGCTAGTTATTTATAAATTCAATTCCCTTTTATCAATATAATTTGTAATAATTAAATTTACTGGAAATGTGTTTATTTTCAATAATTACATCAACTATTATATCTACATACTTGACTGCAATGATAAAAGTTATTGAATGAGAAGGCTTGGCTCATAAGTTTGGAAAAAAACGCTAAGAAGATTCACCATTGATAAGCAAAGCTTTCTCATTCAATAACTTATATCATTGCAGTAAGGTCTATAGAGATAATATTTAATATAATTATTGAAAAGAAACACATTTCCAGTAAATGTAATTGTTATAAAAATTTCATTGTTATTATTTATACAGTGGACCCTCGGTTTACGAGCACCTTGGAGTACGAGCTTTTCGCAGTACGAGCAAATTTTTTGAAAAATTTACCTCGGATTACGAGTGAAATTTCGCATTACGAGCAACTCGTGATGGTTGCCCGTAATCGTGATGGATGAAAATTCACTGGGATCCCTCCCTTCAGATCAGATTCGGGAAATATGTAAAATGTGGGAAACTGTGCAATTGTTCGTAGCAAGAAGAATTGCCTGAGTTTCAATTATTAAAAATAAGAAATTAGTTTCGCACTACGAGCGTTTTGGAGTACGAGCATGGCTCTGGAACGGACTATGCTCGCAAACCTAGGGTCCACTGTAGTTCAATTTTTGAAGCTTTTTTCTTAAAATTAATGTAAGCTAGAACGGTCAAGTCTTCTCTCTCATTCGCTTTTGAAGATCAAATGATTCAGACGATAAAAGAAAAAAATGTCCAAATTTAAAATAAAAATGCATTCGCTATATATGCAAATAAAGAAGCATATATCTATATCAAAGAGGAAGAAAGAGATAAAATAGGATAAACACACATACACCTTTATTAAGAACACCGGTCTTATACAGATTCACACACACACAAAAGCCTTTATTAAGACACACAGGTCTTACAGAGGATTCTCCTTGGGCTTACAAGACGGAGAAACCTATGAAAGTGAGAAATAAAAAATGAAGAAAGATTATATACATATGGTAAATATATACAGATTATAAGAAAGAATAAAAAAATAAGAAAAAAAATTGGAAATATGGATGGGAGAAGTGGAGAGCGAAAAGAGGAAATAAAACAGGTATTTACATATGGAACAAGTCAATTTAAGCTCTTCTGCTCACACAGCACAGGTGGGCCATGGCTTTTTCAAGAAATCTTTAAGAGCTTATACAGATTCATTATAGGAAAGAAGCATAGATAGAGGTCCTATACTTCAGGTAGCACAGAACCCAACAGCCTCCAGGTCTGACGCATATCCAGTGGAGAAAATAGGATATAAATGATTATGTATTATATTGCTCTTTTGTTTCAGGTCATTTTGTCTCTTTACCACAGATAGTTTGATTTGAAATTCGCTCGACATCATATTGAAACTAATGATCATCAATGGTTAACTTTCATCTGTTTTATCTACCAATTGCAACAGCTATTTTTTATATATATTGTAACCAAGTATTTATTAATTTTATTATTTTTTATTGACAGAGTGGTCATTTTCATGCTTATATTTTGTTACTCTGTAAATTTCCCTCCTGGCTTATCTTTTGTTTACTTTTCATAGTTTGTCCTTTCCTGAAATAAATTTTGTTTCCTCCTGAAGTTTTTGTCTTCCTTAATTTTCCACGTGGCAATATATATATATAGTAAGTCATCAATAGAACACTGTTATTTTTGGTGTCTAGGATAACTAAGGAGATGTAAATTTATGAATGTAAACACTATTTTTAAGCTTCGAGAGCTTTGTTGCCATAGATACACTATCTATATATTGTCTAATATGTGAAAGGGCCAACAGCCCGAAACGCATTCGTGGATGGCTTTTCTTGATTTATCAAGAAATTGGGTTGGTCAAATATCAGGAAACAGGCTAAATCAATGTTTAGTTGATTTCTGTTCCACTAGATGGCACTCGGCCATCTAAAAAAAGCACATGTGCTCTTAGTCAGGATATGCCTTTTTTGTTTTTTATTGTCTAATATAAAAATAGGATATCAAGACTGAATAAGATGAATGCTATATTATTGTATCAAATCTACAAATGATTATTGATTAGGCATAACTACTTAGCATGTAGATGGAAATTTTACTGGGAGGAAATTGATCTATAAAAACATAAGGCGCCTCTTCCGTTAAATTAAACGTCAAAACTAGACGCCATCTTTTTACTGTCTAGTTTTGGCGTCTATATGGCGTCTAGTTTTCACGTTTAATTTGACTGGAGAGGCGCCTTATTATTTTATAGATACTTAAAATACATTTTATACATACACACACATAAAGCTTTATTAAGACCACCGGTCTTATACAGATTCACCACAAGAAGGAAGCATAGATGGAGTCCTATACTCCAGGCAGTGCAGAACCCAACAACAGCCTCCAGGTCCGACACATGTCCAGTGGCCACACCGTACATAGGTATCACCTTTTAGCGTATTACTAAAAGGCGAGTGTGGAATCAGCCGCGTTTCAGTCTTCGCTTTCCACATCCAAATGGACCACGATATTCGGCGATTCTATTAATCTCCTACGAACGGTGACTGCGGTTTTGTAGAATTTATATAAACCAAAGGTTATACATTTTATACGTCTTTAATGTTCCACCGAAGGAAGGTAGGCAAAGCCGAGCGTGTCGAGATACAAAATCCTCCTAACATAGGCCGTTAGGTGGTAGTTTTTCCAAACAAATTCCCTATGGTAATGAGCTAAGATGACGTAGAGGCATACAGACTTCGGTCTAGGTAGCCCACTATCCATCGGAGTATGTTTTACCAGAAAAAATATACATTTTTCAACTCTAAATTATATTTTACTCTTCAAACAGAATGCTTAGACATTAGTCTATTATGCAAATGAACAGTTGGACAATATTAACATATATTCTTATTCTAGAATGAGATATATGATTCTTGAGAATATATCTTCTGCGTCGTCCTCACATCACATCATTGAAGGCTCTTCCAAGAATTCCACAAAGATCTTTATCTTGTTTTAAACTATCCAGATTTCTGGAAGGAAGTTGAAGAGAAGGCTGATTTTGTGTTAAACGCTGAAGATAGATCAAAAGGAATATTAATGACAACATATAGAAGAATTGACAGTTGGATGAGGAAAGCTGATGTGGAACTACCAGGCCTATGTAAGTATTTTCCTGTTTTTTATATTTTAAAACTCTTTATTGGGAGATTATTATATTACCTATATAGAGAATTATTTACATAGTAATATTTACATTTGAAAATATCCATAGCTATGTACATAGTAAAGTCAGTTTTACATGAGGCAAAGTTTCAGTTTGTCAAGTAATGTTGAATATAGAGACATTGAGAGAGTATATATTTACACCATTTATATACATTACACATGAGCCTCTAAAGGTGAGTTAAACTCCATGTTGTAGTCATAGTTAAAAATCGATACTTATCCAGAATTTGTACATTACATATTTTATCCTAGGTAGCCTAGTGGACATGGCATCTGCCCGGTAAGCGTAACACTGTGGGTTTGTTTCCCATCCTTGGACACTTTATTTTTCCTTTCATCATTACTCTTCACAATTTATCCTTTCATAATTCATCCCTAAGGATAGTAATAGTCGTTATTTCTTCTTAAAATAATTAAAATTACGATTTTTCGTTCTGTAAAAAGAAACATTTGCGGTAAAACTCGTTAAACGTCGTTCATAACCGCATTATATGGTATTATACATTACATATTTACCGATGGTAAAAATGTGAGTCTTAACTGTTGTTTCATTATCGAAAACAAATACCCTCTATAAAAACAAAACGTGAATCAGTATTCTTTTATATACACTGGCCCGCAAAATTAAAGGAACAGCATATTTTTTCCATATATCTCAAATTTTATCGAACATTTATCAATGAAATTTTATATACAAATTCATTATTTCATTATTGATTAAAATACCCGAAATCAAAGAAATCGAACACGTATTTTATGCAAATTAGCCGGTCAAACAATGATCTTCTTGCAGTCAGTGTATAAATATCTTGGAAGTTGTTGTTAATATAGGGTGTGATCGCCTTTAACTGATAGACTGCCTCTACATCGGCGACCCATACTAAGAATTAGGGAGTTTATAAGCTCCTGTGGAATCAACGCCCACTCTTTTTTTAAAGTTCATGAGTGTTTCTAGGAGGGGGTTGGAGGGATGAGACCCGTCGTCCTAGATTTTTCTATGCATGCTCAATGGGATTTAGGTCTGGAGATCGAGCTGGCCAATTCATCCGAGCAATTGCATGGTTTTGGAGAAAAGTGTCGACCACATCAGCCCTATGTGGACGGGCATTATCATCCATTAGAAGAAGGTTTTCTCCCATTTCAACTGATACAATACGCAGAAGGCTTCACATGAAGGGCCTCTATGCTCGACGACCCATAATTTGTGTGCCGTTGACACCACCTCATAAGAGAGCAAGGGAACTTTGGCGCAGACAACATGTCGCTTGGAATCCAGATGAATGGAGCCATGTAATGACGTCGTGTCTTTGTCTGGATAGAGGTAGGAACCAGAAATAATCCCCAAAATATGGTTGAAAGGGATCCCTACAGAAGCCAATGTTTTATGGTCTGGGCTGGAATCTTCTTGGGCGGTCATACAGCACTCCACATTTTTCGGCAAGAAACCCTGACTGGACAGAGGTATCGGGACGATATCTTTTCAGCATATGTGATGCCTCAATCATTAGAAATGGTAGAAAACCTTCTTATAATGGATGATAATGCACGTCCACATAGGGCTGGTGTGGTCGACACTTTTCTCCAAAACCATGCAATTGCTCGGATGAATTGGCCAGCTCGTTTCCCAGACCTAAATCCCATTGAGCATGTATGGGACAACCTAGGACGGCGGATCTCATCCCTCCAACCCCCTCCTATAAACACTCATGAGCTAGAAACTGCCTTAACACAAGAGTGGGCGTTGATTCCACAGGAGCTGATAAACTCCCTAATTCTTAGTATGGGTCGCCGATGTAGAGCCTGTCTATCAGTTAAAGGCGATCACACCCTATATTAACAACAATATCCAAGATATTTATGTACTGACTGCAAGAAGATCATTGCTTGACCGGCTAATTTGCATAAAATACGTGTTAGAATTCTTTGATTTCGGGTATTCTAATCAATAATGGAATAATAAATTTGTGTATAAAATTCCATTGACAAATGTTCAATAAAATTTGAGATAAATGAAAAAAATTATGTTGTTCCTTTAATTTTGCGGACAAGTGTATTTTATTAGTATTCCTTTATATTCCTTTTATTTGCATTGCATATTGGTTGCATATATGAATATTGGTTGCTCACACATAAGACGGAGAACCTCGAGCATAAATGGCTTGTATTGAACTTGTTGAACTTGGCAATGTTAAACATTTTAACAAAATAATAATAAGTAATCAACAATAATAAATAGTAATCAACAACGAAACAACAACAAAAAGCTTTATTAAGAACTTTTAGTCTTATACAGATTCTCCAAACAGAAATGTAGGATACATGCAGGAATAAAGTAATAGTACCTTAATGGTAATATGGAGGAAAGGAAATTTATTATACATGGATTTATCACGGATTCACCGCAAGAAATAATGTAATATCAAATTTTATAAAGTTTCATACAATAGACACAGCAAGGGTTGAAATATATAAACACACAACACACAATCTACATAAAATAAAAAGTTTAAAGGTTTGTAAGTTTATGTGTTTGTTCTGACTACATTTCTACAATAGTTATCTAAAAGAAATTTTGACACCATATTGCTGCATCCTGATTTAGGTATTCATCCTCCCAAATTATATTGTATAACATTGCTTTGATTTATATAAAATACTAATATATATATTTAATTTCATTGATTATATTTATTATATTCATTTATTACCAGTTACACAAAAAACACACTATATCCAATATGGATAAGTGCGCATGAAACTATTTACAATAATTCATATTGTAGTAGAGTAGGTAACAGAATTATCAAAAAGAAAATAAACAATTCAGAAAAAGAGCATTAAATAAACATATACATTAAATAAATAAGCAACAAGATAAGCAGATAGAAGAAACCGCAAAGTAGTTATTTACAGTATGTTAAGCAATGATGGAAGTTGATTTAATGAAGTTATCTGTAAAAATTAGTATCGTGGAGAGAGAAAGTTGATCAAGTTGAGCTATTTACAATGAGTTTTATTCTAAAGTAACTTATTAATTATTTACATTAATGTAAATCAAGTCGCATAGTAGTGTAGTTCCTCAAGCTGTATGAAGCTGTCTATTTATAATAAAAAGTCTGCTGAACCTATTAAATTTCGTATATCTTTCCCTATTATAAACTATTTGACCCAGATAGGTTCGTTCCATCTTGCGCTCTGCTGTCTTAGGTTTGACACCAGTGGGCATGAGTTCAGAATGTGTTCAGGGGTTTCTTCTTCCGCTCCACATGAGCATCCTGGCGAACCTATGTATATATATATGACTGACAAATACAAAACAAGTTGTTTACAATAAAGACCAATACATCAAGTTTAATAGATTCTGCAGGCTGTATATTTTAAGGCGAAAGTATTGACTGTGGGCCACTGACTCGTTCTGATGTAATCATTGGATGTATTAATTTACTTAGTCTACACGTTGTTCTAACTGTTGTAAATGGCAATTCTGTGTACACATCTCATACGGTGTACATATTTCAAGCTACTATTTCTAATTATTATATGCAAAATTTCACATTGAATGTGTAATTTGTGTGCTTCCCAATGTTTAACTATGTTAATTTTACGATGATTTGATTTGTATATAATTTCAGATTTACACGCAATTATCCTAATTGTGGATATGGCGTGTCTTTCCAACTGTTAAATAAATATAAAAATAAATGTATATATGTATTATATTTCTATACAGAGTATTATTATAGTAATATTAACATTTATTTTATTTGACACACACACATCTGTGATGGCACATGACTTTGAAGGTCGGTGCGAAGACAGATATGATTGCAGAAGAGTCACGCGAAAACTGAAGATCACCAACTACGAGGCAGACAAGGAATAAACTTAATAACTTTAAAAATTAACATAAAAAAAAACATAATAAATTAATTTAATTTATGTCTAACTGGCCTTGTACTTATTGGTTCCGGAAAAGCATTGCTCGATGCAAATATTTATATGTAATTTTACTGTCCTAAAAGCTTATGTCAGTGTAGCATATATAAGCATAATTATCCAATACAGTATTAGAGCTGTAAAGAAGCGGTCTGGTAGATTAAATTGGTGAAACCCCAGGGAGGGTTCTCCACTGATGAGCAAAGCCCTCCCAATATTTTTTAATCGTAGTAAGGACAGCATAAATTTGAATTATTTGTAAAAATAAACTTTTGTGCTTAAATGTTTTACTTTCTTTAATACCTTTATCCACTCCAAATGTTGGATAAGACGTCCAAACAAAGATTATTATCTGTTTTCTTCTTAATCATCAAAAAGGCTGGTGGCTGGTATTATTTCTATGGCTAGTCTTTTGATTGCAACGTAAAGTCTTCCCCCGAAATGTCCCACGAATCACCTACCTCTCCCCAGCAGCAATACCTTCATTCACTCCGAATGTTGGATAAGACGTCCAAACAGGATCAGATTATCTATTTCTTAATAATCAAAAAGGTTGGTGGCTGACAGTATTTCTATGGCTAGTCTTTTGATAGCAATGTAGGATTTTTTTCCAAAATGTCTCATGAATTCCATATCTCCCTCCAGCAGCAATACCTTTATTCACTCCAAGTGTTGAATAAGACGTCCAAAAAGGATTATTATCTATTTATTCTTAATCATCAAAAAGGTTGGTGGCTGATAGTATTTCTATGGCTAGTCTTTTGATGGCAACGTAGGGTCTTCTCTCAAAATGTCCCGTGAATCCCATATCTCCCTCCAGCAGCAATATCTTTATTCACTCCGAATGTTGGATAAGACGTCCAAACTTGATGAATATCTATAAATGCTATTTTTCTATAGTGTGTTATCATTTTGACAATTTAATATTACCTTTGGTCGTAGAGGTACAGTGTGCCACACGCTGACGAGGGCCAACAGCCCGAAACGCGTTCGTGGTTGACTTTTCTTGATTTATCAAGAAATTGGGAAAGCCAAATGTCACGGAACAAGTT